GGAATCTCTTGTCTACTGAGGATGATATTGAAAATCATATGATTGGCTATTTCAAAGACTTATTGGCTCAGGAAAGCAATATTGACCTTCACATGGTTGATCAGGTCTTACCGCCATTCCATCTCAATTCTTCTTAGAAGGACAAACTAGTGGATGCAGTATCTATGGAGGAGATTAAAGCATGCATTTGGGATATGAAAAATGAAAGCGCTCCAGGACCAGATGGCTTTCAGTGGAATTCTACAGGTTTGGATGGAAAGTCATTAAAAAGGATCTTTTTCTGGCCCTTAAAGATTTCTTCACTAAGGGTAAGCTGCTCAAGCAAATCAATTCCACCTTTATCTGTCTGATTCCTAAAGTGGATGCAACTAGGGTGATGAAAGACTTTCGACCTATAGGGTTGTGTAATGTCTTATACAAAATCATCAGCAAAATAATTTCTAATCGCCTACGAGTAGTTCTTGCTGATTTTATTGACCCTAGGCGGGCTGCATTTCTGAAAGGTAGGCTTATCACTGATAATATTCTCATGACAAACGAACTTATGTCTCTCTGCCATAGGAACTCAGATCGGCCTAAAATGTCTGCAAATCGATTTGAGCAGTGCATATAATAGAGTATCCTGGGATTTATAGTGGGTAGGATGCATGCTTTGGGTTTTCCTGAGTTATTTGTTTCTTGGGTTCACTTGTGTATTTCCACTACTTCTTCCTCTATCCTGAGGAATGGCTCACCCAAAGTTTTTTTTAAAGGTAAGAGAAGTTTGAGGCAAGGGGATCCTCTATCTCCTTATCTTTTTTTGTTGGTCATGAATCTTTTTAGCAGACAGCTTGATTGTGCCATGTTGCAAGGCATGGTTCCTAGGGCATTTCCTTCAGAGTGTGACTATGGGGTCTCTCATCTCTTTTATGTTGATAATGTGTTTATTTTCTGTGAGGCATCCATCTCTACTGCCACAGCTATGCGTGAACTTATTCATAAGTTTGAGAGGAGTACTGGTCAGATTTTGAACTCATCTAAAAGCAAGGTCTTTTCCTTTGATGCACCACAGGGAGGACGGGGGAGAGTTCTAAGGGAGTTAAAGTTTGTTGAATGGTCTCTTCCTGTCCGCTATTTGGGTCTACCATTATTTCGTGGACATCTGAGGCACAGTTATTGTCATAGTCTGGTGGGTAAAGTGTTCGATAAGATCGGGTCTTGACAGCCTTTATGCCTCTCATATGCCGGTCGACTTCAGTTGCTTAAGCCTGTACTGGAGGCGTCATCGGTTTTCTAGTGATTATCCTTCATTCTTCCAAAGAAAGCATGTAATATGATAGAGAGACTACAGAGAAACTTCTTATGGGCCAGGGAAGCAAAAAAAAAAAGGTGTCCATCTTATAAAAATGGAAAACGATGTGCCTCCCTATGGCTGAAGGAGGTCTTGGGGTAAGAGATATGGTGGATTTCAATATCGCAAGAATGATGAAGTTAGCATGAAGGATTTTGGAAAATCCATCCTCGTTGTTGGCACGATTCTTCAAACATCGATATTTTAGAAATTCCTCTATTTGGGAGGCTGAAGGCAGAAAAGGTTATTCTCATGCATGGAAGGGGATTTTACTTGGCTCATTTCATTTGAGAGGCAATGCACAGTGGAATATTGGTAATGGTCAGATGGTGGATTTCTGAATGGACCCATGGTTAGCAAGTCAGCCACTTTCAGATCTCCACGATGATAACATTCAGGAATATTTTGGGGGCTGTTGCAGGGAGGATGGTTTCAGACTTTATCAGAGAAGTTCTTAAAGCTTGGGTTTTGCCGCATCCTGCATCTGATTCTTTGAGGAATATATGGAGAGAGGTTGAGAATTATACTCTCCCTCTACATCCCAAGAAGGATTCACTGGTCTTATTTCATTCTGTTGATGGATCATTCTCTATTAATAGGGCATGGAATTTTATTAGGCATCAAGGTTCATCACAGCCTATCTTCTGTGCACTTTGGTCCTCCAAATGCCACCCAAGGGCAAAATGGTTTTCATGGTTGGCCTTGCATAATCGGTTACCCACTTCATTCTTACTACAGCAGCGAGGCATGCAACTAGACTCTTTATGACCCTTTTGTAGTAATCATGATGACAATCTTTTTCATCTATTATTCCAATGTGCCTTTGCGCATGGTGTATGAAGATCACTTGCTTGGACATGTGAAAAAAGGTTTGTCCTTGGTACCTCTATCCCTGATTTACTTAGGCGGTGGTCACTTTTCAGGTTTAAATCACATGGACTTCGTAACATTTGGTCTTCCATCTTTTTTACTGCTATTTGGTTTCTATGGGAAGAGCGCAACAGAAGAGTTTTTGAGTCAAGACCCACCAGGAGAGAGCTTATTGAGAAAAAAAATACCCTGCACGTTCAGGCACTAGCAGAAGTTAAGAAGCGGTCTTTTCATTTATCAGAAAAGGCCATCATTGGTAACCTTCGGATAACTTGGCAGCAGCAGAGGACTGAGCCCTTTACTTCGGTAGCGTGGTCTTTTCCTGAGGCTCATAATTACAAACTCAATATTGATGTTGCTTCCTTGAGAAATCCAGGTTTAGCTGGTGGTGGTGGAGTTATCAGGAAAAGTGCTTATAGTTTTATTGCTGCTTTTGCAAAGCATTTTGGTTTTGCTTCTAATAACCGTGTAGAATTCTTAGCATTTGAGGAAGGAGTTCAATTGGTTATTCAAAGTAATTGTTTTCCAATCCAGATTGAAAGTGACTCGGTCTTGCTTGTGAATGTCAGTCATAATCGATGCAATGCTCCATGGAGACTAAAGACGATTGTAGACAATTGTTGCACCAGACTGTCTTCTCATCGATGGTCCATCACACATGTCTTTCGTAAGGCTAACATGGTTGCTAATGCCCTAGCTAAGAGGGCAGCTGCTGGCCCCAGTGCTATTGTGTGGCGCCATAGACCACCAAATTTTCTTTGCTCTCTTTTATTACATGATCTGGCGCAAGAGCCCTACCATAGGGTTGTATCTTAATTGTTTTTCTCTGCTTTTTATTAATGAAAAATGGGTAGGGGGCCTTCTCCCCCACTGACTTACCCAAATAAAAAAAAAAAAGAGTGAATTTGAATTTGACTAAGGGTAGAGTCAGATGATTCGCGGTAGACCCCTTCGTGTGAGGGAAACTGACACAAGAAAAGCCATTCTTTGGTCCCACTCTCCACCATAAACAATCTGAAGAATACAAGCACACAGCTTAAGATAGAGAGCGAGAAACAGAAAACCACCCTTGTGGTATAGTTTCACAACTTCTCGAGCAAAAAGGTCGATGTCTATAAACTTTTCCTTAGAGCCTCGACCCAAGCGGAAGTGCGATGTGTCTGGAAACCCGGGTACCCTTCTGATCGCCCTATCATGATCTATTCTATAGGTAGAAAAAGTCCAACTTCTTGATCAATTGTTTTTTTCTCACCATCCAAGTCCCCCATATAGCTTGCTAGGCCATCTAGATTACATTCAATTACTTATATGAATAAAAATCATCTAAAACAGTACATAATGCCCCTATTACAATTAAAAAAATGATGTAGTAAGGGTAAATCCCTTCTAACAAAAATGTTTTTTAGTTGACATGCCATGTTTCCTACCTTGTCACCCTGCAAACATTTTATACTTGTGTATGATAGAATATTCCATAAGACCACTGGCATCGTTCTCAAATGATTCTAAATATTGTCATGCTTGCAGCATTAACACTATTTTATACTTTCCATTTATAATTTATGGATTGCACAAAAAGAAAGAATACAAGAGGAGTGTTCTAAGAAAACTATGAATGCAAGGTTCACATTTGATCTTAGTAATCGTGTTCTTTTTTTAGAAGAATGGTGTTCATCAAAAAAGATTACCCCTAAGTACGTATTAAAAAAAAAAAGGTATGTGCTGTAATTTCCCGTTAACTACTATCAGAGGAGCTTGCCAAACAAACTGACAATGTTTTGCTTACTTAACACATAAAACCCAAAGCTCTTAATGGCCACAGATTGTCATCACCTCAATTCCTTCACCCAAGCAAAATGTAAGTAACACAATTCAGGGTTTAGAAAAAAGGAATTCAAAACCACTAGTCTCATAGGAAACAACATATTTGTTACGCATGACGCATGGATTTGGTCGATAGCATCATTCTAAGCTGTTCAAGAGGGTTCGATTTTGTTGAGTCAAAGCATGATCAAATATTTTATCTAAAACAAACAAGGGATAAAGGACCCCCTCATTTCTTTTTGACATTTAACAGCAGTCACAGAAACACATAAGACTTCAATATTACAAAAAGAGGGGCCCAATTTAGAGGACTAGAGTTGCTCTCTTTTTCTTTTTCTTTTTCTTTTTCTTTTTCTTTTTCTTTTTCACACCTTTAAGGATGTCAGGGACTTGATGATGGTCGTCAAAATTTTAGACATGACTATACAATAGGAATTTCTATCATATCCCCAATTGTTTTGTAGAGAATCGGGAAATAGGCCTAGCCAGCAAATATATAAGGTGGGTCCATGCACTAAAGGTATACCATGGCTCTCTATTGGAGCATTGGTTGCATATGTGTAAGAAAAGCTCATCTTTTCAAAATATCAATGACAAAGCAGTTACCAAATTAATACAAATTACTAAACAGATGGTATATTCATGTATTAAAATACACCAGAACGAATACATACATACATATATGTGTGTGTGTGTGTGTGTGCTTGCACACTGAACTCTTTAGTGCTCAGCAAGCATCAGCATATAGTCAGTAACAGTCCCACAGAAACCATGGTTCACCCAAACTTAGAAGTTGGAAACAACGAAGTTGGTGAGGACTTACAACATAATCAGACACACTCAGGAAGAGGCACTCAATTTCTTCTTTTTTTAGTTCAATAATTAAAGTACCCTCAAAAGTTTGAGCAGTCTTCACAGTGAAAACAGAATTCATCCAAAATAAGAGGAGCAACATCAAAGATCCGAGATAACTCACCACTTTTTTGCCTTTCAGTGTCCTGCTTATCAAAAAAATCAGCAGGAAGAGAGGATGATGATTGAGATATTGGCTGCAAATTTGCAACTAAATTGGATTTGGAAGTGTCCATTCCGACATCATTGTTCACGTTCAATTTGGCACTACTAACACGAGAAATCTCAGCAGCATTAGCTTTGAGTTTGGCAATGACCTATATCATCGGAAGATGTTTTGTCAGCATGAAAGAAAGGAAACTTAGGTTAAAATTATCAAAAAAGAAAGAAAGGAAACTCCAATGCCATAAATAGGATATGAAACATAACAGTGAAAAACAAGCAATCTTCTATGAGAATATGAAACAGAATGGACATCAACACATATATGAACACCTTTTAAACCAGCCATGGTTGACAGGTAACAGGTACATGAGTCATCTGAGAGAAACTTAAGCTGATAGTGTCAAATATGTGGTTCGCTTCCATGCATTCTTGTGCAAACTCAGATATGAAATTGAGGACTTCTACATAAAAGCTCAATACATTTGGAGTCCCAGTCTGTATAGTTCTATAGAGATTTGATCGATTTAGAAAGCCTAGAATCAAGTAAAATTACTCAATAAGCGTTACGGAAAAAGAATGGCAGTACATGGGTCTCACGCTCTTCCCTCAGGTGACCCCAAAGGCACACTAGACAAGTTCAACTTTGATGGTTGCACTCTCTACAAGCCTAACCCAGCAGTCTTTGGGGGTCCATTCAGAGACCATAACAGCAATACCTGTATTCTGGTCATCTCAGTCACGCTGACTCAACTACCACAGAAGCAGTAGTGTTCCTAGAGGGTATAACGACTCAAGAGATACAACTGGGACTGGGATGATTCATTGCTCGTAGAAGGAGATTCAAAAAACATTAGAGCAGGGGCCTCAGGTGCCTCCACCTGTCCGTGCCATCTTAAGTATATTTTTTAGCATATTTCCTTCCTCTATGAGCACATTCACACCTCCTTTTGGCGTACCTAGCAGGAGGCAAACTCTAGAGCAGACTTACTCACAAAGGAAGGTGCAGCAGATAGGGTCATTGGTAGAATCTAACAGCCGTTTTTTAAGCTCAGTTCCACAGTTTTTGTTTTTGGGTTTCATTTAAGTTTTTTACCATTATACTGCATGCCTTCTTGGGCACCATTTTTTGTATATGAACTCTAGAACATGCCCAGTTAATGGCTGTACATTACATTTTGTAATTTGTTGGAATAATAGTAGTACAATTATACCGTCAACATTTCAGGAAAAAAAAGGGCAGTACATGGGTCCTAAATCTTTAAAGAATATGCACTTGCATAAGCAGAGTATGCTATTATGATTTGCTATGACTATACGGAAACATAGTATGATATTAGATCATGAGAGAAATGAATTTTGAATCATATGGGGTGGCTTGGAAGATGGTGCAAAATAAAGATGCTAATTATTTCATTGCATTTCTCAAAGGTGGCGGCAAGAGCTCAGCGGGGCTGACGCTTATTATGATTTCAACACCAAATACATCTCGTTTTCTTCTAAGGATTGTATATAATAAGAAAGCATCATTACTGGCAATGCCAAAATACTGAGATAGAGAGACTTGAAGTTTTACCTCGAGATGTTTACGAGAAGTTTTGTGCGCAAGCCATAGGGACTCCGACTTCACAGCAACATTACAAATTTTACAAACAGGTTGGTCCAAATCATTATACCTGCAAGCAGTAACCTCTTTCAATCATCCATTTAATCTCTTAAAAGAACTAATAAAGTTTTGCTAAGAGATATGATTAGCTATAGCTGAAAAAAAAGTATACCGCCTTAAAAGGCTTCACAAACATGAAATTTCATAGGAACTTAAGAGGTCATTTTGCAATATGTAAGCACTTAAGCAGATCAATCTTGAGAAAAGTAGTCACAAAGTAAAACAAAATTTTGACTATCCCCGAAAAAGCCTCTAAATAACAAAGACTGAAATCATTACATAGTGATGATGCCCTAATTCAGTCAATGAAATAAAGCAAGACTAAACAGAACATGATCCATAGGATACGCTAGGGAAGCATAAAATATCAGCTACAGAATTTGCAATAACCCAATGGCAAATTCAGAAGCTCTAGGAAACTAAATATAGAACTCTTAGGAGCATACCTTCACGATTGACATGAAATTGGATGAAGAAAATGACGGTACATTAGTCAAACGACGAAATCGGATAAAAACCCAAACAAGTTGGGATTCAAACTGTCTACCAATTGAATGGCGAATACCTCACAAGTGGGTCGTCAAGAGGCTTTTCTCGTTTTTGTGCAGCTTCTTTTAATTTTGCACGAAGCACTGCATTTCTTGCTTTAGCATCCATACTTCAAATTGAAAACAAAATGTACACTTAATGGAGATCCTGCACGATTCATATACAACAATACTACTGTAATTAGAAATAGATTTTGAAATTATAGCAGCAAACTATGGAGAAACAGCAAATTAACTGATATAAGAGATAAATACAAAGGAAATAATGATGAAAGAAAATATAAAAAATGACGAACCCGTCAAATTAAGAAACAAGCTTGCCGAAAGCAAAATGACGATGCGATGTAGAGAGAGAGTGCCAATGCAGAGAGAGAGACTATCAATAGAGAGAGAGACACCCTGTACTATTGTTTTGGAGCTGTAAAATCCAAGCAGGAACATTTAGAAGTCGAAACTGAAAAAATACGATACACGTTACGTGCATGCTAATTAAATGAACCTGTAAATGGACTTCGTGCATTACTTGGAGCAAGAAATGATGTGCGGTTGTGCACTTTCCCATGTGTTTCAGATGGATGGTGGAGATGGATCGTTGTATGTACTTTGTTGCAACGTCTCATGTCCATCGTCCTCTTTCTTCATAATGGGCAGTGGATGGATTCCTCGTATGTATGGTGAAGTGATGTGCACTTTTCCAAGTGTCGCAGATGGATGGTGGAGATGGATCGTTGTATGGACTCTGATGCAACGTCTTGTGTTCATCGTCACCCTCTTTCTTCATAATGAGCAGTGGATGGATTCCTCGTGCGTATGGCGTGTATGGTATATATGATGTTTATCCATACTCTACCCCATAATTTTTTGGAAAAATTATGTAAACATCCATCATATTTACAGTTATTATAAAAATATTTTTTAGCTTCGGTTATTACATTTGCATCTGTTTTTTCAAATTCATGATACTTTAAAAAAAATGTGTAGTTTCTATAGGATTGCAATCTTAAACAATCCAATTAAAGCGCACCTCCAAATTTTATCATAACATGTAATTTTATTGTAAAAAATTCTTAGGATTATCTTAAAACCTATTTTCATATCTAATTAGAAAATTTTCAACTTCAAAAATAGTTAAAATCAATGAGATCTATAAAAATAATAAAATCTTGAAAATAGACAGCCTAGATAATGTGTTGCAAGATGCACTATTTCTGAGACCAAAAAAATGTCTCGATGATCAAATAGATTTTCAACATTAAAACAACCTTTCCAATAGATTTTTGAGGTGCATCTGTGATTCTATATTTTAATATTGCAACCTTATATAAAATGGGAAAGCTTTCTATGTTCCCCTACAATATAGAAGTTTCTATCCTCCCCCTAAGATTGTCCCTATCACAATGTCATGTCTCTATATTATTTTATTTTTAATTTATTTTCTATAAACTATTTTGACACAAAATTTTCGATGTTCATTCCTCTATTAAACGCTCACTGACGAAAAATATAGAAAAAAATATTTTCAATAAAATAAAATTACCAAAATACGCCCCAATGAGAAGATGGCAGGTATCAAATTTCATCTTCAGAAAATTTGTATTGAAAAAACTAAAAATAAAATACTTTGAGATGTCGGATCTAAGATCAAAAGGTGAGTGGCCCTCTTGATAAAAAATGAACGGCTGAATGGTAGGGGGAGGATAGAACAGGGGGGACATAGAAAGCTTTCCCAAGTAAACTTTTCCCAAAATAAAGACAACTGCGCTTTTTAGTTTTTCAAAAATGGAAACGATCAAAATGTTAGGTTATTCAAAACCAAAAATTAACTGCATTCGATTTTTGAAAAGCCAAACTTGTGCTTGACATCATCTCTTTGGGACAAGCATCACTTGGTATATGAATAGATGTGTTTGAGAGAAAGAGTACGGAATCCATGCAACATAGCAGCCATGTAGGGCCCTTAGAGTGAAAGAACAATGCTTTAAAGATAAAAAACGCATATTCATTTTAATGATTGAAACTAGTAAAACAAATTTAACGGATTCTTTGATTTCCACGATCAGATAACTAGAGATTTTAGCAACTTTGAAAGTCCGATTTCCATTTTTTCTATGATTTCCATTATTTGAGACATGGGGATTTAAAACTTTCCCCAAATTATGTAGTGTAGAACCAAAAATTTCTATAATTTTTGAAGTTTTCCTCGTCATCTATTATTTGTGTAGTTTCAATGATCAACCAACGAGAGATCTCTACAACTTTAGAAGCTTAATCTTTGATGCATTCTTTTTAAAATTTTCATGATCAGAGAATCAGAGACCAACAAATGCATAAGCTCCCCAATTTCATGTACTCTTTCTTCTTCAATTTCCATGGTCAGAAAACCAAAGTTTTCTATCACCAAAAAAGGGGTTCACCAATTCTAATGCATTTTTCTGCAATTTGTATAACCCAAAGTACCTGATAATCATGGAGAGGGGGAGATGGAAGTTATGGCTTGGAATATTACCTGTGTTTTCCTCCTTTGCTTCTTCTTCTCCTGCAAGTAATAATGCGAGGAAAGTGCGTTGTCGATTGAGGGATAGAAAGATAGAGGGAGAGGAGGATGTCTTAGAGCGAAATTTTTAGGTTTGTGAAAAATTGAAAAAATATAAATTTGGTTTCTCAAAATCCGAAAATTATTATTTTTTGATTTTTTAAAAACTGAAAATTTTAAACATTTCAAGTTTTTGAAAAATCGAAAATAAGCAGTACTGTCTTTTTAAAAAAAAATGTTATGAAGTTAAAAAAAATGGATGTAGCTATAATAATGAAAACTAAAAGTTATTTTTGTAATAATGGAAAATATAACGGATATATATGTAATTTCCTTTGATTCTTTTTTATTTTAATAAAAATATTTATATAAGGTTGGAATCTTATAATGTAGAAGTAAGATGCACCTCAAAAACCTAATAGAAAAAAGTGTTTCGAAGTTGTATAAAGTTTTGATTGATTATATCATCCTTGAGATACATGAATATAAACAAAAAAAATATTTTCAAATCTTAAAAATAGTGCACCTTGTAATAGGTTATAATGATTGTCTATGCTTAAGATTTTCAAATGTTTATAAATCTGCTTGTTCTGCATTGTTTTTAGATTTTTAAAATTTAATAATTAAGGTTGAACATGATTTTCAAGCCATTGCATGGCTTTCAACACTAAAAATAAGTCCCCTGGAAAAATTTAGAAACGCACCTTACTTGTATTGAACAAAGTTGGCATCTTATACAAACCTCGCCCTCTAATAAAAATGAGGGAAATTGTATATAATGCTTGGATCTTACTAAAAAAGTAAAATAGTACACACAAACTCACAAAAAATCACACGTCAAATAAACGTCATATTGATCATCATGACCTGAAAACAAAAATGGATTTGAAACTGACTAGTGTATCTTGTAATATCATCATCATCGTTTTATCCTTTTTCCAATTAATTAGGGTCGATTATATGAATCATGGTTCTCCATTCTACTTTATTAAAAATCATATCCTCAATGAGGCCATAAGTCCCCATATATTTTCGGACTAGTTCCAACCACGTCTTTTTGGGCATACCCCTTGCCCTTTTTAGTCATTCCACTTGAACTAATTCGCACCTCTTAACAAGTGTTGTACTTGGTCAGCACCACACATGGCCAACCCACCTAAGTCTACTCATCTCATTTTATTATTTATTGGTGCCACGCCTAAATTATAGCGAATAGATTCATTTCGAATTTTATCCTTTTTTATCTTGTCACTCATCCATCTCAACATGATCATCTCCGCCACAATCATTCTATGGGTATATTGTGTTTTGTCCGCCCAACATTCCGTCTTATAAAGCAAAGATGGTCTCACCGTTGTCATATAGAACTTGTCATTTAGCCTCATTGGTATGGGGCGATCACATGAAATTCTAGTTGCACATCTTCATTTTGCCCACCCAGGTCTAATTTTGTGGGCGACATCTTCATCAATCTCTTCATTTTCCTAGATTATCAACCCAAGATATTTAAAGTGTTATTTTTTTTGTACTTCCTGACCATCAATCTTGACTACTTCCTCGTCTCTACTTCTATTATTACTAAACTTGCAATCAATATATTATGTCTTAGTCCAACTAATTTTAAAACATTTGGATTCTAGAACATCCCTCGAAAGTTCTAACTTTGTGTTGACACCGTTTCAAGTATCATCAATCAAAACTATGTCAAAAATCCAGTAGAAAATAATGCACCTTGTAACAAAACTATGTGAAAAATAAAAAATAATGTCAAAAAACTATCTTGTAACATATTATTGGAAAAATTTCATATAAAGTTGCAACCTTATACTATAGAACTAAGGTGCACATCAAAAATCCACTAGAAAAGAGTGTCCAAAATTTGGAAAACCTTCCAATTGATTATCTTGACATCGAGATGTATTGTATAAAGAAAAGAATAAAGAATAAAGAATTCCATATCCTAAAAATAGTTCACCTTGTAACAATATATATAGACCATCTATTTTCAAGATTTTGAAGTGCTTTTATACATGCTCAATATGCATATTAAAATTTTGAATTTCATAATTAGGGTTGAAAATCAATTTTCAAGCCATCGTAAGGTTTCTGGTACTGGAACTACAACTTCTAGCAAAATTTACATGTGCGCTTTACTTATATAATATAAGGTGGGCACCGTATGCAAACCTCACCCCATATTATTTTGTTCATATATTTTAGTGTTCACAAATCTACCAAATTTGTATGGAGCTTCAATTTTCATAACCATGAGTAAAAATATATACTCATGCAATAGATGCGGCACTAAAATTACATTTTCTGGCAGGTTTTGATGTATCGCTTTGCTTTACTTTTTCTGTAAGGCCTATTCCTTATACAATCCCAAAGAGAGATTAAATTATACAAAATTTAAACTGTAAATCAAGGCCCCAATCCCTTAACATGACTTGGTTTTTTTTGACACAAACGGTTAATTCCAATAACCCAACGCTTTCTTAAACAACCTTAGAAATAGGATCTTGACTTATTTGTGGATGAAACTACCTTACAATTAAATAAATAAATCATTCTTTCCTCTCTAGCCAAATGAAACGACTAAAAGCTCCTCTCTCCATCTCACTTCCTCCACCATGGGTAATTTATTTAAATGTTTAAAAGTTCATATTGGGCCTTAATTCGGTAAAGGCCCGATTGGGTTCTCCTAATCCAAGTCAAATGATTCCCACGAAAGACTAAGATACAATTATAAAGAAATATAAAATCAACAGACCGAGAGAATTGAGTAATTCGAAGAATTTTCCATCTTGAATCATCCACCTCAAAATTTCAATGAACTCAAATGCTACCTAATCAGGTTGATGATTTTTTAATCACTGGCTTATTTTTACAAGTGAGTGTGCTGTAATATTGTTTTGCATTTAATATGGTGAATTGTCTTGTTTCTTGGGTTTCCAATTTCACTTTTTTGAGAACGTTTATGTGTTTTTTTTTTCCTTCAATTTTTTTTTAAGGCAAGGGGTAAGATAAATATATAGGTTTGGTTATCACTGATAATGCTAGGGCATGTATGTTTTGTGAGGTCGAAGTTAATGCTTAAAGGAAGCAATTAGTATGGTCCATGTTTCTTGGATACTGCACTAATGTCATGTTAAAAGAAATAGGCAATATCAAGATTGTGAGTAGATTTTGATTTAAGTGTGGGTAGAGGGTATCAAAATTTATCTATTACTATACCAAATTTTTTCACTTTATGAGATAACATACTGATAAAATGGGGCTAGTTAGGCCCACCATCACTTGCTATGTGGTAGACTACTTGACCATAGACTATTCTACAGTCACAAGCCTAATTAAAGAGGTTGTTCACCAGTTAAAAGTGGGTGAAAAACCATCTCTCAAGGTCTTGTAAGGTTTGAAAGTAGAGGACTTTTTATTTTTATTTTTTTGGGTAGTTCAGTTGTAAGAATTAAACTTGACATGTAGCATTGCTAAAGCAATTGCTAACCACTCGCGCCCAAGCTCGATTCCTAAAGTGGAGGGCGTAGTTACTGATAAGATGCTCTAATATATGTGTGACATCATCACAAGGACCACAACTTCTTTAATGACATTGTCAAAGTTGGTGGATACTAACAATAAAGTCATTATGGGGCTCATCTATGAAGGAATACAGATGGCGAAGGTGATTATTTGAGATAAGTATAGTATAAGGACAAAATGGTGGAGATTATTGAGAGGAGGTGGAATAACTGGGCAAACCAATTTACTGTGCATGTAAATGCTAATTTTTATATTTAGATAAATAAATATTTAAATGTTCCATTGTTGTGAGGGTAAATAGTTTCTCCATCTTTGTGTTTTCTAGGTTTCTACTTTCACCTCAAATATTTTATTCGTTGCATGTTATTCTCAACAAAATCATGAAGAGGATTAGATACATCAATAGAAGATTGGAGAGGCACCATATGAGATTCAACATTTGTTGTAGGGATTTTATAGACCTGATGCATTTGTGAGGTCTAATTGAACATTTAAACATAATATTTTCTCAGTTTTCTTGTATAGGAATGTAAAAGCCTCATTCACAACTAGACCTATCAAGTATTCTTACAACATATGATGGATTCATGTTATTTCTTAACTAATTACGTATTATTTTCACATCATTCACATTATAAAGTATTTCGAGGCTCTTTCACAAAGTCCTTTTGTATTTTATTTCAACTGAATGGTAAAAGCTACATAATTGTGACATACCTCTTTTAAGGAATATAACAATCAAGTTACTTTATCAGACATATTAGCTACTAGGTGTGAGTGAAACTAGAGTATATTATCCCGGTTATATACTGCTAAAAAGAATCAGTTGATTTTATATAGACTTTGAACACTTATATATGTTCATTTTAACTTGAACATCCATGACCAACAAATAAGGAGTAAAATGAAGGCTTACAGCCTGATCAACTTATATGTAATATTTGTTATAGATACATCTGAGCAGATGGTGGTATAAGAGGATGAGCCAGTGTTATATAACAAAGTGTAACTTAAGGCAATTGGTAAGGAAGATGATGAATAAGGCAGGCACAAAAAGGGAGAAAGAGGTGACCAATCAATATTTGAGCAGTTCATAGAAGATATAAGATAATCACATACCTATCAAAAATAAATGGGGTGAGATGAGAGATATGATGACTTTGAGGCTACCTAGTCCAGCCAAGCCTGAGCCCCAACAATAAGAGGGTGGGGACAAGCATGAGGGATAGAACCTCAGGGATTTTAAGCAAAGAGAGTGGTTAACCATGCATGATTCTTTCATGAACGATTGAATGGGTATAGTCGGCCATACGCCAACGAATTTGAAACCTCTGACTTGTACGTCAAGCGACTCAAGATTTGTCCCAACAATTTAATGCGCGAGTATAGTGTGAAAAACACTAAAGATGTGCATCCGAAGTTTTATATAATAGTCACATACCATTAAGACCGAAGGAGATGTTCTAAATAACAGATTTAAAACCAGTCACACTCTATGGGATGGAATGTTGGGTGGTTAATAAACAACATATTTATAAGATGAATGTAGCTGAGATGATGATGTTGAGATGGATGTGTGGCAAGACAATAAAAGATAGAATTCAAAGTGTGTACATATGAGGGACTTAGGTGTAACTTAATAGGCATTAAGATAAGGGAAAGTAGACTTAGGTAGGTTGACCATGTATAGCATAGACCTTATGCAACACCAATTAGGAAGTGCGATTTGGCTCAAGTGGAAGACCCAAAGGGCAATAAAAAGCCCAAAAGGACATAGATAGAAATAGTGAGAAACAAATATGACGACTTTTGGTCTTACTAAAGGTATGACCCTTGATAGAGAATAATGGAGGAATAACATTATTGCAGCCAGTCCTAAATAATTGGGATAAGGCTGGGATGATGATGATGATAATATAATATAATAAAAAGGAAGACCGTCATTGTTGGTTTTGATATTAGGTTGTGTCTTCATAATTGCAAGCTCCATTTTGGACTATATATTATTGTTTATGATAATTATATGCTCCATGATGCAATGATCAACATACAATCGGGAAACAACCTCTGAATATTCATATATATATTTACAACCCCTTTTTGGGTAGTTATAATGTAATACCCTTGCATTTTTGAAAACTCAAAGAACCGTATTTATCATGATTTATTATTTATTTGAAACTCTGTTTTAGGGCCTGATCAGTCCGAACTAGTAGATCAATCGATCTAGATCGCTAATCCAGCTAACCATGTAGTTCCTTGGATGATTAATATACCCAACCAATCTAGGTTTTTAAACACTGATTATTTGTGAATACCAGTGCAAGGGGTTGTGTTATTGACCCAGTCCAAAAAATCCGTGATTCACAAACCCTATAATGGTAAAAACCTTATAATGCATTAGAAGAGGTTGTTTTAAGATTGGAGCCCACCTGAAAAATTACATTAGAAGAGGTTGTTTTGATGCTCAAAATCCTCAAATTGATCATCTCGACATCAAGATGCATGGATATGAGAAAAAAATAGATTTCAAGTTTTCGAAATAGTGCATTTTCTAATGCATTTTTGGATAGTCAATTTTCAATATTTTCAAGTTTTCATAGATACGCTAGATCTGCACTATTTTTGAAGCTTTAAAGTTTATAATAGGTGCGGTTTGTATAGAGCTGAGGTTCTAAAAAATCAAAGTAAAGCACACTTTCAAATAGTATCAAGAAATGTGGTTTCAATACTGGAAATTTTCGTAACAGCTTTAAAATATATTTTTATTTTTAATTATAAAATTTAAAGCTTCAAAAATAGTGTAGATCAAACATATATATGAAAAAATGAAAATTGATGGTCTAAAAATGTGTTACAAGATGCACTATTTTTAAAACTTGAAATCCATTTTTTTCTCATGTCCATACATTTTGACGCCAAGATGATCAATTTGAGGATATTTGAGCATCAAAGCAACTTCTTTTAATGAAATTTTTGAAGTACCTTCTAATTTAATTGTTTGGAGCCTTGGCTATATAAAACTCTTCCTTTATGAAAATATATCAAAGATTTCAAGAGTATGAAGCCCACATTTCTCGACACCATTTGAAGGTGCTTTATTTTGATTGCTTAGAGCCTCGTACAAACCGCACCCTATATAATAAGTCATTCAAAATTTTTACCCTTGTCTCCTCTCATTTCCCTCTCTCTCACACTACATGTCCCTTCAACCTCTTTTCTCTCTCGTTCTCACTCACGCCCTCTCTCCACAAACCCTCTCTGTATCTCGTCTCTCTCCCCACCGATTAAAACATTCAACCCTCCTTCACTCTCGTGGAGAGAGAGCGAGATTCCACCGGTATGGTGCCAACTAAATTGAGATTCTGCAAATCCAAAACCTGAAGAAACTCAATGCTCCCAAGCTCCACTGGTATAACACCTTCAAGCACATTACCACCCAAGCTCCACGGGTCTCACACACACTGTCCCTGCAAGGAAGTGCTTCTCTCTTTCTCTAAGTCACGTAGAGTGGTAGTTTATCTCTAATGGGGTTTTGATACTTCTGTTGCCTACTCACGGAGAGTGGCAGTCTCTTTCTCTAAAGGGTTTTTGATACTTGAGTTGCCCTAGGCACTTGGATTGTGCTCACTATTGAGGGTTTCATGGCGACTGGAGAAGCTGATGTGAGTAGCTGGACTGACCTCCTGCACTCTTCTAGCAAGCTCTTGCAGCAAGCTGCACCATCTGCTAATTTCCCTCCATTACAGGTTCTTTACCTGCGTTTTGCAAGTTCTATACATTACAGGTCTTCATTTTCTCTTGTGGAAATAAAAATGAGTGCTGAGATACTTGTTGCTTTTTCTTTTCTTCCTTATCTGGATATAGAGGAACTTGGATCAACTCGAGGCTTTATCAAAAAAGTTAAAAGAAAAAACATCAAGGATTGAAGCGCCCAATCAGTCGATTGCTGCAATAAGGTCGGCTTCTTCGCTCTTATCTCTCTGTTTCATCATTTTCAGAATCTTCATGCTTGGTCTGTTTCCATGAATCATCTACTCACATTATTAGAAGTGTTTACTTAGAATTCTAAGTAGTACATTAAAAAACTTTCTTATTTTCTTTTATTGATAACTGAATTTCCACTTACAAGTACCACAAAATACAAAGAAAATAAATGATTAACCTACTACAATATATTCTTTTACAGCCAAATAAATAAAAATTTATTCAAGGGCTGAATTTAAACTTCATCATCATCACCATTTGAGCCTTATCCCAACTATTTGGGGTGGGCTACTCAAATCCTGTTCTGCCATTCCGCTTTATCAAGGGCCATACTCTCGGGTAGACCATAAGTTACAATATACATTCGGACTACTTAAATCCATATCCTTTTGGGCTATCCTGTTGGCCTTTAGCGCCTTCCACTTAAACCAAATCACCCCCTCCTAACCGATGCTGTTTAGGTCGATGCTGCATATCGCCAGCCCACTTAAGTCTACTTTCCCTAATAGAGCGGCTCTTGAGTTCCCTCGAATTATTTCAAAGTCTAACATATCTTATCTTGCCCCTCATCCATGTCGACATCCTCATGTCAGCTACATTCCTTCTATAGATATGTTGTTTCTTGATCGTTCAACATATGGTCCCATAAAGCATCGTTGGTCTTATAATAGTCTTATAAAACTTCCTTTCAGTTTTATTGGTATGCGTTGATTGCATAAAACTCCGGAATCACATCTCCACTTCACCCACCCAACTCTAATTCTATGTGCGACATCTTCCTCAATCTTTCAATTCTTGGCTTTCAATTTTAACTACTACCTCGTTTCTATTCTTATTATTACTAAACTTACACTTCATATATTCTGTTTTAGTCTAACTAATTTTCAAACATTTAGATTTTAGAGCATCCCTTAAAAGTTACAACTTTGCATACATTGTCTTTAGTTTGACCTATCAAAACTATGTCATCCACAAATAACTTACACCACGGTACCTCATCCTGTAAATGCCTAGTTAACCCAGACAAATCAAAATAAAGAGGTATGGGCTTAATGCTGACCCTATTGTTACTGAAAACTAGCTTGTCTCTTAACTAGTTGTCCTCACACTAGTTAGCGTTCTATCGTACATAGCTCTCACCACATCACCTCTAGAAATTCTTTTATTTTCCGACACCACGAAATTAACTCTTTAGGTATCCTATCGTATGCTTTCTCTAAATTAATAAAGACCATGTGATCTTTTCTCTTATCCTTTAACTTCTTAATCGATTGTCTGAGTAGAAAAATAACCACAATTGTTGACCTCCTTGGCATAAAACTGGATTGGATTTTTGATACACGCGTTTTATGCCTTAGTTGTTGCTTAGTCACTCTCTCGCATAGTTTCATTGTGTGGCTCAGAAGTTTGATCCCTAGATAGTTTGCACAATAATGTATATCTCCTTTATTTTGTAAATAGGTACCACAGTACTTTTTCTCCATTCATTTGACATTTTCTTTGTTCTCACCTTTTTGTTGAATAACTTGGTCAACTAGAATATACCAATCTCTCCCATACATTTCCAAACCTCTATTGGGATACCATTTGCTCTTAAAGCTTTTCCTACCTTCATCTTTCTAAAAGCTTTTTTCACTTCAAATATCCTAATCCTAGGAATGTTTGTATGACCTCCGACCTCATTTATGTCAAAGGTTCCTCCTTCAAAAAGAAATTATAATGCAAATAGGATTTTTGTAAATAAATATAAATCGTTAACTTCTAATCTGGAAATAAATAAATTAGGCTGGGAAGACTTACTAGACTTTGTCTAGGGTCACCCCTTTAGGACTTAGTACACCCCATAACCGATAATCACACTGATGGCTCATTTCTTGAAACTTTGGCCATCCTGAATTCTACAAACTTGGAAGCTTCTTAGGCAATATCCTTTAGAGAGTTGGGGTTTGCTAGCATGAATTGGGTCTAGGATTTGCGAGCATGAACTAGTTAAGATTGAAATCCAAGAAATACTAAAAAGATCGCAGTTTCGGTATTTTGAAAAGATAATTCAGGAAAATGGATCGATTGAGGAAGATGTTGCACATAGAATTAAAGTTGGATGGACGAAATGGAGATGTGCAACCGAAGTTTTATGTGATCGTCGCATACCAATGAAGCTGGAGGGTAAGTTCTATAGGACAACTGTGAGACTAGTTTTACTTTGTGGGACAAAATCTTGGGCGGTTAAGAAACAATATACCCATAGGATGGTAGCTGAGATGAGGAAGTCGAGATGGATGAGTAGCAAGACAAGAACAGATAAAATTCAAAATGAAGACATTCGGGGGAACTTAGGTGTGGCTCCAATAGGCGATAAGATTAGATAAAGTAAACTTAGGTGGCTGGCCATGTGTAGCGCAGATACAGTACAACACTTGTTAGGAGGTGTGGGTTAGTTCAAGTGGACAGTTCAAAAAGGGCTAGAGGTACACTCAAAAGGACATGATTGAAAGTAGTGAGAAAAGATAAATTTCCCCTATATCTATCTATTCTTTTTGTAAATATATATATCTTTCTTTCAAAGCATATTTATGTGGATTCTATAGGAATTTACCGGGTTTGAGGCATGATGGTTGTAAGAATTACATTGTTGTGATTCTGGCTGTATGTATAGGTGGCACATTGCTTTTATCAAGAGTTTAGCTTTGGGAAGGTGCTTAGAAACCTTGATATTATTGATATAAATAGAGATTTAGTTGACCTATGATGGTTTACTTGCATTATAATGTATTGACAAGCTAAACATATACAAATTTGTGATTATCTTTGGAAATCATGTTGTGAAATCACGTTGTGTAAGTGCCAAATTGTAGGACTGCAATAGTTAAAGAGCTGATCAAGTAAATTGGCTTGCTGGAATGGGGATGATGAACTTATTTAGTTTCAAAGTTCATCATGAGTTTTTTTGTCTTGTTTTTTTTTTGATGAAGTTAACTGTCGTAATAAGTAAAAGAAAAGATTACAGTAGTCCATCCAGAGGGCTCACAGGTCGTGCCTCTTGGCAAAAAATAAGCTTCCAAAAAGAGGAGCCTTATACAAAAAATGGGTGGGGCTGATAACAGTTGCCCTTTTACAGAGAATTTACAAAAACATATAAACTGAGGATCCAGGGGTTCCATAAGTCCTTGTGGAAAATGGGACTCGAAAAAAAAAGATGAGCCTAAAAACCCCATGCTCTTATGAACCTGCGACGCGTGCTACCGCTACCTCCTTAGCCAATTGCTCTGCCAAGGCGTTTGACGTCCTCCAAGTATGCTTCCATAAGACAACTATATCTCTGTAAACAATGTTTCAAAAAGCTCTAGGCGGGTCCTAGGCGGCCTGGGGGGTCCAAGCCGTCCAGCGCCTAGGCAGGCGCCCAGAACCTAAGCGGCCCAGTTGAATCCAAAAAGGATTCTGCAGTTATGTCAGTATCAGTTATATGCAGTACATAATTCAAATTATACTACATATTAGCATTTAACACACACTCCATAAGCATAACCATAATCCATGAGTCGGTTCATACTCCATATCCAATTAAAACTTAAAATTTTCCAACCAACCAAATTATCAAACCAAGTTACCAAATAGTATCAAACCAGTACTGCAGTACACCACCATGAGGAAGAAAACAAAATTGAATTATCAAACTATGAAAGTAATACTTGGAGATTCAAAAGAATCTTCAATAGTTCAATACTTCAATCAAAGTTCAAACTTCAAAGTTTAATAATTATTCAACATTCATCATTCATTCATCATCAGAAAATCTTAGGTCAACTGCATTGGCATTATATTTATTAGAGTCGACAGAGTCATCACCCTCCTCGACATATTGGTTGTCCTTGTCCTCCTCCGTCTCCTCCTCTTCCTCCACCCTTGATCTCTGTGCAGAAGATCTAGTGTCCCTAGGAGGGTCAGCTGATGTCCCTGAAGCATCCATAACCATATCCCATGTCAATCCTTCATGCCCCTCGACCTCATCATCATCAACTAACCACTTCATAGCATGGTCCATATTTTTTGATCTGATGGGGTCTCTCTGATCTCTTTTAGCAAACTTGTCCTTCAAGAATTGATTGTACTTGACGTAGACTAGGTCATTGAGCCTATTTTATTCAAGCCTGTTCCTTTTCTTTGTATGAATCTAACAAAATCAAATGGAACTAATTAAAATCTAATATCTATGGTTCATGTATTATTTATAAAATTATACAAATTACCCTTAGTTACGGCCTTATCCCTTCAAAAGTACTCCAATTGCGCTCACAACCGGATGAAGAAGTGGTTAGGTTTAATATCCGGATGACCAACTTTTGTATATTTGGAGAACTTCACCCATGGCTCCACCAATGGGCTGCAAAGATATAGAAAAAAAATCATAAACAAATAATAGAATTACTTGATTACTTGAACTTGATGAACTTAAGAATATTATTAATACCTAGATTAATTTTGGTCCTTTGCCTCATCGCCATTGGACTCCCAAAAGGCTTTAATTAGCACTTGTAATTTATCAGCTCATCAGCGCATATAATATCCCGTATATCAGGATCAGGGACTAGCACAACTATACACTCATTAAATCCATTCATAACTGTGTCATTTGTTTGTATATCCTTGTCAATATAAAAAAAAGCTGGGTTCAAATAATAACCAGCTGCATGCAATGGCCGATGTAGTTGTCTATCCCGCTTCTCATCAATAATCTCCCAAATAGGCTTGTAGCGGGTTTCGTCATCATTTAAATTTTGGGCTATCTCTCTTTTGTATTTCTCCATAGCATCATTTATGTAGCCCGTAGAAGGCTTGTCACTATCAACCATGTGAAGGACTTTGATAAGAGGAAAAAATACCTTAAGAGCGCCCTTCACCCATCGTCAAAAAGCCTAAAGGATAATATCTCTCACCTTCTTCCCAACTTGATCCTTAGACCACTTGCATGCTC